ACCTCCACATCTTGTCCCACTGGAAGGTCTTCAGGGGCAAAAACATGGATGGAGCTGACATCTCCTGTGATAACAATGCCTTCTTCTGGAATACCTCTGAAGGACCTGCCTGAGGCTGTTGTACAGTTAACTTTTTAAATAAGTAGAAATACACTCTAATTATTAAAAGTATAGTGAATACGTAAACCAGTAACATAGTTATTACCATTATCAAGTATTATGTACTATACATAATTTTTTGTGCTAAACATTTATAAGACTCCCATCCAGATAGGTTTGTTTACACCAACATCACAACAAACACGTGAGCAATGTGTTTACTATGATGTGATGGTTATCATGTCACTCACTAAGTGACAGGAATTTTTCTTTTCCATTATAATCTTATGAGGCCACCAACCCATTTGCAGTTTGTTGTAGACCAAAATGTCATCTGGCTCACAACTGTAGTTGCAATACAGGACAAGAAAGTTGTTCAAATATAACTGGGCCTTAGTTCCTGATAGTTAATAGCTGGATGGCTTTGGGCACTCTAAGGTTTAGTTTTCCAACATGTGAAATATGGAAACTAATTCATGATCCAGTTGTCTCACAGATTGTTCAGGCCTTGTGAACACAAGATACCGAGCAAATGAGTTAATATAATTTAAGACTGTGTTGAATCACAAAAGTCAATTTATCCTAACATTATTGCTTTTAGAGGTTTGAAGAGAAAAAGAATAAAGAAAAACTTGCCCCGCATCAACAGCTGGATCATTTTGCCACTCTGGCTGCTGGGTTAGACGTTCACCACCCAACATAAGACCAAATTCCTAATAGATCATTAAAGAGAAACTACAACTCCCAGCAGGCCTTGCTCCCGCAAGGCATCATACAACCTCCGCTCAGGCCCGGGCTAGCCCTCTCCCCGCCCCCTCCGCCTAGAAACTACATCTCCCAGGAGGCCCGACGGCGCCTAACAGCCTGCTTTACCCCCGCCCCTTGCCTCCCCTTTACCCCCCGCCAGCAGCTCTCTGGCCGACTCTGTCCCGGGGCCGGCGAAGCGGGCGCGCGCGTCGGGGGTCGCGCGGCTGCTGGGAAGGGCGAGCGCGCTCCAGGAGGGAGTGGAGGCGTAGGGGGCGGGGGTACGGCTCGCTTGCTCGCAAGATGGCGGACGAGGACGGGGACGGGATTCACCCCTCAGCCCCTCACAGGAACGGAGGTGGCGGCGGCAGTGGGGGGTCTGGGTTCTACTGCGCCGGGAACGGCGGCGGAGGAGGCGGCGGCCCGCGGGTCGTGCGCATCGTCAAGTCCGAGTCCGGTTACGGCTTCAACGTGCGGGGCCAAGTGAGCGAGGGCGGGCAACTGCGGAGCATCAACGGGGAGCTGTACGCGCCGCTGCAGCATGTGAGCGCCGTGCTGCCCGGGGGGGCGGCCGATCGCGCCGGGGTGCGCAAGGGGGACCGCATCCTGGAGGTGTGAGTATCGGGACCGTCCGCTGCCCCACCCTCTCCATCCCCCTCCGCCTGTCCCCACATTTCCCCTCTTCCCCTGTCACCCTCAGGCCGCACCTCCCCCAACCCCCGAACCGGCTCTCGGGACCCCCGCCCCTTTCAGGCCTTGGCTGCTGGGCACCTCTTGGGGGTTGACACTCTCGCCCCCAACACACCCTGGGTTTCTGCTACTCCCGTCTCCCCCCTGTAGTTTATGTCCTTGCGCCCCCATTGCGTTTACCCCTGCCCCGATTCCTTTGGGTTCTTTTCTGCCCCTTTGCCTTCGCGTTTGGCATGCTGCTTTCTGCTCCTTACTCCCCCTCGCCTTCCTCGTGATGAACCTCTTCTGCTCCTTACTGACGGCGTCTCCTTTTCTGACCCAGCCAGTTCCGTGTCCTCCCCAAGTTCCCATCTTTAGCATCATAGTTTCTTGTTCACCACTCCGCTCAGCCCCTGTGGACTGTTTCTTCTGCCCTCTAGACCGAGTAAGCTGGACCTCTGGTCTGCTCCTACTTTTCCTCCGGAAACATCCATCCCTCCCTACCCCACTCCTTTTCTTTCCTTAGTTATCCTCTCCTTATGTTTCAGCACCCCTTAAATTTTGCCATCCTAGTGTGTGTCCCTTTCCTCCCCTCCTTTTAGTATTCATTCTCCAAGAGTATACCTTCTTTTCTGACCCATGCATGCCTTTTGGGGAGGGCGCGCGTGGTGTTTGACACTAGTTTCTCAATTGTCCACGTATTACACCCTGATTTTGAATCTAGGGTCTTCGTCAGCACATCCCACTGAGAGCATTCCTGTTCTGGCACCGTCTTCACTCTTGCGCTATACTCAGACTTCTTTCTAGTCCAGTCAGGTTATAGTAGAGCTCTCCTACTTCCCCCCAAACTACAAGCCCCTTTTGGGTCTTTGACCGCTCTACTTTTTAAGGGCATGCCTGTCTCCATTCGCTCTTCTACTTTGTCCTCTTGTGATCCGGCACTTGACTTTATCCTAGTCTTTCTCTCCTCTAGGTTGCTTTCCTTTCCTTCTCTTTCTAAGGCGCCTTCTGCTGCTGCAGCCCACCCTCTTCCCCTACTGCAGTCCCTGCTCTTCGTACGCCTTCATCCCTACTTCCACTCCACATCCCTTAAAGCTCTTGCAGGAATGCTGACTTGTCTTGCAATTTCTGTGCGCACCTCCTCCACTACCCTCATCTAGGTGTTACGTGTTTGTTTTTGTACTTAGTATTGAAATTCACGTACAGATTACTGATTGACTTGTAGGTGGTATATGCCCTCATTGTCTCCATCCTCCTCAGCAATCTTCCACTCTATATTTCTCTCCTTACTCAGTTTATAATCTTTTTTCACACTTTTGCTTTCTCCCTCCATGTTGGGATTTGTGCACATGAGGTCTTTCTCATTTTTTATAAATTTTATTTTAATTGTAATTTCTACAATCTTCAGTTTCTTCTTGTGGAATAGTAGGTATACTGGAGGTTTGCAAAGCGGGTAGTATCTTGAAGGTCTGGTTTTATAGGGGAGTCCATTCCTTCTTCTTCATCTTGTGCCCCCTGCCCTTCCCCTTGACATTCTTACTCTGTGAAATCCACTCATTCTGTTTCCTCATCCCTTCCACCTCAAGAAATAGTTGCTTAGCTAAGAAAGTCTTTGGAGATATCTTTCCACTGTCCTTTCTTTTTTCTTTAGTGTCCTGCATACTGTTTTCTAGTATTCTTTGGTAATACATTCTTAATCTTTTGGGGGACAGGGCATTCAGATAGAGAATGCAGTAATGACCCTTAAATTTCTTATACCTGGGCACTTAATTATTTTCTCTCTAGGTAACTCAAAATCTGTGGCTGATGTTTCCTTCTGATAGAAATTCCTGGAATTGTCATTTTCCTTTCCTTTTGGAAGTTAACTTTGGACCCAGATGTTTATTTTTAAATT